ACCCATGTGAGTAAAATATGCAATCCAACAGAAATATAACTATTTATTTTTTGTCGTCCATATATGGAAAACACAAATCTAATTTTCCATACTTTTCTAGATATTTATAGACTGAAATCAATCTATTAAACAAACACAAAATCTCCTCCTGAGTATAAAACTGATCAAGATCAGCAGCAAATTTACCAAAGATGTTTTCTTTCCTCAGGCTCCACTTTTCCACTAAAGCGGAGGAAATGTGCCCCTCTACAATTTGAACAATTTTGCTGACAGCAAACAGAGAGACTTAGAAATGAGCCTGTGAAACGTAACCTGTCACAGCACCGCCTTAGCAAAGGGAAAAAATAAAAAAAGTGTCATAAAGTGTCCATGGTTTTACTCCACTGCTGTCTGAACAGAAATGTTACATTATTGGAAAAACACAGCGAGGTATTGATGTTCCAGCTGGCATTCAATCCCAGCTCTGCATCACAGTTTCCTCAGTCTTTCAGCAATTCTACATATTGGCCTTTCATCATCTTCTTGCCCTTCTGGATGCGGAATACATCACAATCATTGTTTGTTTGCACATTCCCTTTCTTGTTCTGATCAAACATCCCACTAAGCGCACATATACAGACATAGGTGTGGAGCGAAGACACCAAAGCGGCTGCTTCATCAACCTGCGTGATCACACTTTCCCTCCACCATTTCTCATCTTCTCTGGAATTAGACAAGAAAAGCAACAGCGTGTGAGAGGAAGAGAGACGGGGGGATGTGCTGCACTCACCCAAACACTCTTCTGCTTGCATTTCATGAAGCTCCTCAGAAGAATTAATGATAACATGTTTGCAAAGCCTCATGTGTTCAGGCCCATTTAAAAAGTAAGTCCAGCATCAATGAGGGTTGAAAAAGGACCGGACAAAAGTATTCACACCCCCTTTCCAGAATATGGTCATATTTTCTTTATCTAAATTTGTGATTTTATGTAATAGATCAACAAAAGTTGGGCCTCCAATTTAAGCCACATATTTCTATTAAACAGGGGTTCTTTATAAAGTTTCTAAAATCTTTTCTGTTTTAGATCAGTTAGAATAGTTAGTTTTTTCTTGAGATTAAATTCAGAATTCTGACTTTTTTCCTATAGTAAAATGAAATAATATTGAAAAATCAGTTTACTTTTTCCTTAGACTTTCCTCTTCCCCGACGCAACAATATTCTTAGTTTTATAACTAATTATAAGTGGGAAAATTTCATTTTGCATCATCTTGAAAAACGATTTCTTTTGCTATGTGGGGAACAACAAGTTGGGGCAGCACTATGGAAATAAATCTGTGTCGCTGGGATTTGAATTAAAAATGCCACTGAACTTTAAATGTTGTATGTTTGTATTTACTGTTTCAGTGTTAAAATATATTCAGAACACATTTTTGACCTAAAAAGAAGTTAATTGTCATTATTTCTACACAGTTGAAATTTAATTTGTTATTTTCTCTTCAAACTAAAAATTCCCATTACTATTTCAAAGTGATTACATTTTCAATACTTATTTTTCAGTGTTAAAAAATCTCCATGGTGAGTTTATTACTTTCATTTTTCTGTAGTTGAGTTAGCGTTAGCATGCATGAATCGCTACATGATGCTGGTTTTCCTTCAGTGTGAGCGCCACAGGTGTCACGTCATGTGACTAATAAAACGTAACGGGATTGGCTGGGTGTTGGACGCCACAATCCATTGCTAATGTCTGTGACCTGAAGTAACCCTTCCCTTTTTACACTGAATTTAAGACAGTTAAATGGAGCCATTTGAATCTCAGGAGGCTGAAAATATTGAGTTGAAATTTTGAAAGGAAATACAAAAATATTTTTATTGTCTCATTTAGTCATTAAATATCAGTCTTCAAATGTAACAAATGGAAAACCTGTAAAGAAGGGGAAACAGATGGATGGATGGATGGATGGATGGATGGATGGATGGATGGATGGATGGATGGATGGATGGATGGATGGATGGATGGATG